TAAATTTAATTTTGATAAATAATTAGTTTTAATATATCTATATCAAGCTGTCACAATTTCCTAGTAGAACAGGGCTTCGATCTCTTCCATTTTCACGCCGAAGGCGAAAATTTTGAAAGGTCAGAAGAGAAAAACATGACTTTTTATGCTAAAAACTACAAAAAATATAAGAAATCCTCATAATTTTCAAAAGACCACAAAAATCCGCAAATCCGCATTTTTAAAAATAATTCTCATCGCCCTATCAAAAAACCACAAAATAAGGAAAAATCCGCAGATATCAAAGCTTTATAGTAGAATGTTTTCGAGAATTCTCTGTTTCCGAAAATCGGGAATTTGTTTCTATATCGGCACGTTCCCTTATACATTCTTTTTCTTTTAAAAATCCATTTTTTAAACAATATTTTCGAATTTCAAATAAATTTAAAAGATCTCAAAATTAATAAAAAATGAAAATTCAACAATTAATTAATTGTCAACAAAAAAATCATTTAAATAAAATTGAAGTTGGAAATATTAAGAATGAAAATAAAGAGGAAAATGATGTAATTAATGAAGATGTTGATATGGAAGAATTACATGAACAATTCCACAAATTAAGTTCTTATGTTTAAAATTATTTTTTAAATAATTATAATAAATTTAAAAAATAAATTTTTGTTAGTTAATATTTTTAAGGATTTTATTTTGGTAAGAAATTATAACTTCACTTCCATAAAATTTAGATTTTTATATTACAAATGATTGAAAATTTTACAAAAATTCTTTTGAGAATTTCAATTCGTATACTAAAGTTGAAAATTAACCTGAACAAAGTTTATAAAAAACTCGATAAAACCATCAGATGAAATGATTTTTTAAGATTTTGTGAATATAGTGCCCAATAATATTTATAAATCTCCAATAAAACTTCTCGATTACTTAGACAATCAGAACCTAGAAATAATAAAAAAAACTAGGTGCGGGTATAAGTTCTTAACACACCATATTTTATCTAAATAAGGAGAAACACTTGATTTTAGGATATTTTCTGATCATTATGATATCATTCTATTAGAAAATTTATACTATATTTCTTTGGTAATTCTTCGGATTACGCCTTCCCTTTTTTTATGTTTCCCCGACCATTTTGAGCTTTTTTGCTTGACATATAATATAATAATTTATATATAATTCAAAAGAGCTGTCCGAGCTGGGTAGATTGATACTATGCTCGGTTAGATTAGGCTATTTTGAGCTAAATCCATTGTGGATATGCTTTTTGGGATGTTAAAAGGGGTTAAAACAAATACTCATAACTATGTTGATTTAAGCCAGATTTTGATGACTCTAGTGCCGTTCGACTCAGCTCGAAAAGCTCTTTCGAATGTATAAAAAAATTCAGAAATTACATAGAAAGTTTAAAAAAATAGAACATAAATAAAGGGAGGCGTCATCCGAAGAATTACCTATTTCTTCTCTCAACAATGAAAATAATAATTTTAAAAAGATTTCCCTAAAAATTAAATAATGCTTAAATTTATTTTTTAGAATATATTTTTGCCTCCATTGGGAAGTCCAGGTCCAACAGAAATTTCCTCAAATCAACAACAACAACCTATACCTGCCAAATCCCCTCCTTCAATTAACAACGAAAATATTCATTTAAATAATTTTGACAATTTACAAAAATTATTTTTCCAACCAAATATTTCATATAATTCTTTAGCACAATCAAATCTAATAGCTCAAGCATTGGTGTTGTTACAACAAAATAATTATAATAACAACCAAATTTCGCCAAATTTTCGTCCAATAGTAACACCAAGTAAAGCAAAATTTTACAAATTATTTTTTCTTGAAATTTCTAATGGGGTTCCCTATGTAAATTGTCAAATTTCCGTACAATACTTCTAGCTCCTCGAATATTTTTTATATTATCCATTAGGGTAGGACAAGACCGTTTAATTCACATCTTCAATTAAACATTTATCTGAGACCCATATAGCTTATTTTTAAATATCTCTTCTAAACAATCGTTTATTTTTATTTAAAATTTCCTAAATTTTTCTTGGCTCTGAAGGAAAAAATTCAAGACGCGCATAAATTTGAAGTCACGTAAATTTTTAGATCTTGTCTAGATTACGCGTCTAATCGCAGCGTCTAGCAAAATTAAATTGAATCAGAAAAATTAAATAATAGAAATTATGATTAGATTAATTTTATGTAATTATTATAGGTCGGTAAAATCACATTTGTAGGATTTTGTATCAGGATTGGGTTTCAAAATTTCGAACAGGATAGGATCCTCAGGATTAATCATTAAAATTCTGAAAACCGAAAAAAAGCAGGATTCCGGACAGGATCCTGAAAAATCCTGTGCAGGATCCTGTCCTGCTCATACCTCTATGTAGTAATTAGGTGTTTGAAAATTCTAAATCTTGATCTTTTTTTCTCAGAGTATCCCAATCCAAATATTTATTAACACTCATTATTAATAATTAAATATTTAGCTCTAAATCCAATACTTCCAACCGCCGAAAATTTTCTTCATTTTATTCAGTTGGCACATGCTTTTGGGTTTAAATTTGATTTTAACCAAAAATTAAGTTTTCATTTTTTAAAAATATTTATTTTTTAACTTTTTAGGTTTTAAGTTACATTCCTCCTACAAATTCATTAAATTCTTTTGATCCTAATTTAACAACAACAAAAACTAATAATAATGAGGAACAACAGGTTCCGCTAATTGTTAATGCCAAATATAAGAGAAAATGTTGGTTTTTTAAACTTTTAATAAATTTATTTAAGTTAAAAATTCAATCTTTGTTTCAATTAAAAATTCTAAATTATTTTAATTATTAAAATTATTTATATTTTAATTTTTCTTTCTCTTGTGAATTGACCAGGGATGTCACGGGTTGACAAAAATGATAAGGTTTTGGGCGGATTTTAAAAAATTTCTCTTGTTTGGTTTCGTGTAATCCGTGATATCGCTGGGATAGACCCTAACCGTTTGAGGGCAAGAATGCGTGGTATGTGTATATTTTTTCGGGAGATGGGCGAAAAATTTTAGTGGAGTTCTCATTTAGGCTTAATCATACGCCATATTAATTCAAAAAAATCTTTCAAAAGCTAGTCTGGGTACGAGGTACAACATTACCTTTATCTGAATAATTCATTAAATTATTTTGTTTAATTAAACTTTCATTTTAAAAATAATTTTTTCCCAAAAATTTTAATTTTTTTATTTAAACATTCCAATTTTGTCAATTTCCCATTTAATGATGTAAATAAATTAATGTTTAATTAAAATTATCCCACAAAAATTATGTTGATATCAAACTTTTTTGCTTAACTTTTTCTTATAATTTTTTTAAAATTATTTTTTTTAATTTTCTCTAATCATTTCTTTTTATTTTTTACTTTATTCCAAACAAAACCCCCCAACTAGCTTCTCTAGTTTTGTCCCCCATTTCCATTGCCAATTCCAAAATTTTCCCACAGTGCGCTATTTTAAATTCTGAAAAATGCCAAACTGGTTGGGGGGAAGGGGGAAAGCGTTTTCTACAGTATTCCTTTAATTTATTTAACTAGTTAAAGGTTTTTAGTTGAAAAAATTGTTGGAGGTTTTTACCTTTTTCAAAGACAAATTTCTTTAATTAAGCCAAGAATTTAATTAAATTGTGATTAGGTTCTCAGATACTAAATGGGAAAGAGTGGCGTTTTACTGTCAATTGGAAGTATGAAACTTTCCGTTTAAATTACCTTCCTTTTCCCCCAAAATATTTTCCACAACATACAAATTTGAATAGTTTCTAGCTAAAAAAGCTTTTCAATCCTCTACAGAATGCCGGGGCTTTAAAAACATTTCATGGGTGGGACATTTGGAAATAGACAAAAGTGGCAAATGGAAGTAATGAGGGGGAAAAGGAAGGGAAGGATTGTTGGTATACATTTCTTGCCCAACAATATTGTCCACATTTTATGGCTTATGTGAACCAATAGAACCTAAAACATTATTTTAAGTATTTTAAATAAATTTTTTTGAAGAAATTTAAAAGCTAAAAATTTTTAATAAAAAAATTTTTTTGAAGAAAATATTTTCCTTTAAATTTTGCCAAATCCGAGAATTTTTATTGTTTTCACACACTTTTTGACAAGATTGAGAGAAAATTGCGGGAAAATTTTAGTGGATGTATTTTGAGGAAATTCTCCCATAAGATTGTTGGAACAAGTCCAGCAAAAACATCCCCCTTTCCTCTATTCAAAAACTGTGGGAGATTCCCACTATCCACAAATCTAGCCTTTAGATAAGCTTTCGATTTGCCTTGTAGCGATAAAGTGAATGGGAAAATACTCAGTAACTTAAATAAGTTCAAGATTACTATTCTCTCATCCCACGATATATGGAAGAAGTCTATTGAAGAGGGATCGGAAAATAAATTTTAGGGACTAACCAATAAAAAATATTATTAAAATAAACTTCGCATACACAATCTGTGACATCATATTTAGGATTGTCGATTTCTGGGAAATCTTCGGATATCCGGATTCGTAACTGATATCCGAGACAAAATTTTTGGATAGACTTTTTCCGATTTAATTATCGGGAACCGTCAATCTTAATCATGTTTAGGGTTGCCAAAATGACCCGACTCGGACCGAAAGATCGAGTCGGGCCTAAGATATTTGGTCCGAAAAAGACTCGTACGGCCCGACTCGATAAAGTTAGGCCCGAAAAAGAACTGTACCTGCCCGATTTGATAAAAACAAGCCCGAAAAATAATGTCTCGACCGTCGGCCCGACTCGAAAACGGCAACCCTAATCATGTTTATCGGTATTCATTATTTCAACTATCCTGTTTATGACTTGTTCCTCAATCTAAAAGCACAATTTCAAAACCGTTAAACAATTTCTTATATGCACATACAATAATTTTCTTTGTTTTTTACTTTAAATAACCGAATATTCGTATTTTTAATTATAATTTTCATATCTACTTTATCTCATAAATTTATTCTTCTATAATGACCAATTGTCCCCAAGAAGGAATTACTGAACTTATCAAAACAACTAACATCAACAACAATTCACTACCTCCCCAAGAATTTCCAATTACCTCAATGCCCGAATATTTATATCACCAATCATTCCACCAATTTATACCCCAATGTTCTCAATTAACATCCACAAATCCCCAAAATCTCTCAAATCCACCAAACTACCAAAATTATCAGCAAAACCTACAAGAACCTCAACTAGGACAGAATCAACCAATTCATTCAAATTCAGGGATTTTACCTTCATTTAATCAAGAAATACCCAATTCTAGTCAACTAACCCTTCCAATCTCGTCAACCAATTTTTTTAATTCTCAAAATCCACCCAAATCTTCTAGTAAAAATTTAAATGAGAGTTGTCTAGCTAGTCAAAGATTATCTACAAATAGTCAACAACAACATCAACAATCTTCCATAAATCCATCTCATAATCTGCAAATCTCCCAACAACAAAGTTCTCAACAATTTAACAATTCAACGGGTAATAACCAACAAATATCTAATACTTTTTCAACAAATTTCCCTTTTTGGTTGGATTATCAAAACCCCAACAACCAAATATCTGATAACTCTACTAATATATCTACAGATTATTACCCCCCTCCATTTACTTCAATAGCTGCAGCTTTTGATTACAACAACAATGCCGGAATGATGGGAATGTTACCTTCAATGTATCCACAAAATTTCCAAATTCTAGACGAACAACAATCTTCCCAATATTTCTCTGTAGGGGGTCTTTATGATTCTCTGGCTGCCGCAGCAGCTATCGCAGCAGGACAAATAGGAGATCCTTCCCAAATTACTAATTTTTGTTGGCCAACATTTGATTATTATGGAGGAGGACAAAATTCATCAGCAATTAATTGGACACATTGGGGATACCCAACAATAGATAGCAACGTTGGAGAATTAATTCAACAACAAAATCATTCTGCTGTTGAATCTGGGGGATCTTTATCTATTTTTGATTCTATTGCTCCAATAATTGAAGGAAGTACAGAAATTAAAAGTCAAATAAATTCTAATAATAATCAAAAAGAATGGCAGAAAACAGCGGCACTTTTAGCAGCTACTACCTCTACTACATCAACTAATAATAATCGTCAATTAAACTCAAAATTTGTGACTAAAAGGGGGAGGGGAAGAGGTATTGGAATAAAAATTCTTTTAGATTTTCTAACTCGTTCTTGATTAGATTAAATGTTCTTATTAAAATTCTTGTTAATAAAGAGGCTAGAGTTTCTATTTTTTATTGTAAAATATTCTCTTTATTCAATATTCTCTTCTGCTATTATTCAAAAAATTTTAATGTTTTATCGAAAATCAAAAAAAAATTTTTTAAACAGGCCCTGCAACTTCTTTAACCTCAACCGCAACTAATGGTAACGGCCCTCAACATCAAAGAATGGAAAGTAGCCAATCAAGGCATTGCAATAATTCCTCTGCCATAAATGCCAATGAATGTGGCGGAGGTTTAGAGAATGTAAATGAACAGCAAAAGGTGAGGGAAGGGAAGGAAGGGAGAGGGATGAGGGGGAAGGAGGGATATTTTTGTCCTGTAGTCCTGGAATATTTTTAAAAGTTTTGTGTTAAATCCAAAAATTTATTTTTAGCTCCAAACAATTTCTCCTATACTTTTAAACTTCCCACCTATACAACAATTGACTAGCGCAGCTATGCGCGATTATCTGGCCAATCCTGGACGTTATGAATGTGCAATGTGGATCTTCCATGCAAAAGTTGCTCAAAAAAGTTATGGAAATGAAAAAAGGTTAAAAAAGTTTTTTAGTAAAAATGATTTTTTGAACTTAATTTCAATACTTTATTAATAAAAATATATTCCATACGTAAAAATTTCCAAAATATTTTGCTAAAAACGCAAAAAAGTAATCAAAAATCGTTTCAAATAGGATGGGCGGATCTGGATTGAAAAATAACCGAAAGTTTAGGTTTATATACCAGATCTGCATATCCGAACATTTCTCAAGATTTACCAACCCTATTCAAAACGAAAGAATAACTACACAAAATAACTAAACGAAATTTTTATTAACTAATTATTATATCTGAAAAAGGATTTTTTCGCGCAAAATCACAAGACAATTATTAATTATTATTTAAGTATCTATTGTTCATTTATGTCCATAAATTCATTTATTTTTAAATATTAGGAAAAAATATAACAAGAAAAATTAATGTAAAAACTGAGGGGATAATCCTCTACAAATGGTTAGGTTATTCAATCCTTTAAAAAGACATTCGAGATGAACAAAATATTTTAAGGAGTTATTTAAATATAGGATGAGGAAGAGGGATATTTAATAAATAAATTTGTTAAAATTGTTTAATTATAATTTGAAAAGAATATTTTAGATAAGTAAAAGATAATTAAAAATAAAATGGTAAAAGCATCTTGATGATTTGTGAGACAATAGAAGTATAGTTATCGTAAAAACTATTTAATACCCTGGGTAATTGTTCGATCTCTCACTGGGAGTAGCTCATAAAATCATGATATCTCCCATAAAGCTTCTTAATCACTCATTATCCTCTCCCCAAATTCTTTTAATCTCTCGATTTATTTTTTAAATTGATCCTTAATATTATCAGAATTTTTAATGATTACAAATATTTTTTTCAAATTAGTGTAGAAAAAATAGGGGGTAATCATTTAAGGGAGGGCAATTATTGTTGTGATCTCTCTCTACATGGGGCATTTAATACAGTATTATTTCTATGTAATTATCTTTTACTTCCTCAACACTTTATCTAAAAATATCAGAATTATCTTTAATTAATTTCCAGTCACATTTTAGTTGAATAGCATACAAAAGCATATGTTAATTACTTCAAAAACTAAAAATTACTATTCTTTGTAACAGTAAATAACAATTAATATATTTTAAGTAACTCAAAACTATTCAAAAAATTAACAAATATTGAGTAGAATTTTGAGTGAGAATTAACATATATTTCTTAAAGCTCTCTAAAATATTTTGGGTAAAAATGGTTAAAATGAAGGGGGAGGAGGGGGGGAGGGTCTGTAAATCCTTAAAGCAAATATTCTCAAGGAAATAGCAAATTGTGAAGAAAAGACTCTCTCACAATAAATAGAGGGACAAATTGTTTAGTTTATGAGGGAAGGAACACTTTTGTGGGTAATAATGACCAGTCAATTAATGTAAATACATAAATTGTGTAATATAGTAAGAACGAAAAAATGAAGAATTGAGGGTAGTTTATTGAAGAAGGTCATCAAGGGGCGAATATTGTAAATCCTAATTTAGTTGTGTAACAATAAAAAAGAGACAAGTATTGAAATAAAATTTGTGGGGTTGTCATATACATAGAAATGGTTTAATAATAAAGTTATTGTTTGTTAATTAATTCAATTAAGAGGATAGAGTTTAAGAGTTAAAAGGATAGAGTTCCAATTACAAAATCTTTCTAAATTAACGAAATATTAACCAATTAATAACTGAACTAAAGGGATTAATCAAGGGACTCACATAGGAGAGGCTGAAGGGTGTTCGTGGGACTTGGGGATGAAATTTGGTATAAAGATAGATCATACCTTACCTTAATTCTAAAATCCTTTGTCAGTTATCACAAAATCTTTCTAAATTAGTAATGGATGGGGTCTAGTAAATGGATGGGGTTTGATAAATTCGTTTTTTTACTCCAAGAAATTGGATGTAAACAGAAACAAGTATCCATAAACTAATTAATAGAACCTAAAAATTAAGGATTTTTTAAATTATATTATCCTAATTCCAATCACAAAATCTTTCTAAATAAAAATTTTAAATTCAAAACAAATTGTTAACTAAATATAAAATTATTTTTTTCAAGATTTTTTTGTCCTCCCCCGTGTGTCTATTTACTTGGAGAAGGTTGGCGGAATAGGAGAAAGGCTCTCGATCAAATTTTTAAACGAATAAAAGAACAAAATGAAAAGAATAGGTATTTCAAATTATTTTGTTCCCAATTTTTTTTTTAATTTTTCAAGTTCCGATTTCCTTCCAAATGGAGATTCTTGCCATGAAATGTTTAGCGAAATAATTTCAACTATCGGAATTAATCAACCACAAAATGCAACAGAAAGGCTATCTTGCCATCATATTGCCCATCCTCTGGACTTTACAAACGGAAAAGTATTAAAAATATTTTTATATAGAGACTGAAATTTTTTTTTAAATTAAAGGATTATTGCGCAGCAAAAGCTTTATTTATAAGTGATACTGATAAAAGAAAATATTTTTATTTACATGTGAGTTTAATAATAATGTATAGGTAGTGAAAGGGGATCCAGGTTTCTAGAATTTAAAACACTTACAAGACGGGGGTTTAAGATCTTGAAACTGTCGGTGGGGAGTAATCCCTGTCAGTGAATAAATTTTACCTTTCTCTTATTATAAAAATAAAATTAAAAATTATTTTTTAAAGACAACATTCTCGCATGCTTGTGGAGGTATTGATATTGGCACATTTTCTTCCCAAAGAATAAAGGTAAATATTTAGAAAACCGAAATTGTTATCTCCCTAAATTTCTTCTACAATATAATAATTATGGAATTTAAATAGTCCCTTAATAAAATTTTTTAACTTTACAGGTTATTTCAAAACCATCAAAGAAGAAACAGTCAATGAAAAGTTCAGACTGTAAATATTTATGTGTTAGTAATGGAAGCAAAGTTTGAGAATAAAATTTGAAATTAAAAAATTTATTTATTAAAGATTGCACTTTTTAATCGTCTTCGTTCACAAACAGTTTCTACAAGATATTTGCATGTAGAAAATGGTTGTTTTCATGCAAGTTCGACAAAATGGGGGGCTTTTCATATTAATTCTGGTTAGCGATATTTTTTGATTTAGGTGGGATTGGGATATTTTTTTGACTCCAGCCTGTCAAAACACTATTTTTGGGTTTATTACAATTTATATTAAACCTAAGTTTTTCACACATTTTTATTTATAATAAAACATAAATATCATTATCAAAATTATAGACCGGACTAGGACGACTTAGAAGAATCGAGATTGAAATATCGAATCTAGATAACCGAAATATTTGTTCGAGATCTCGTCTTAACACGATCTCTAACCAAAATATGTATATATTTGCATAGATAAGTATATTTGTCTTCAATCTCACAAATATGTACAAATTAAGTGTTAGATTCTTACCCTATATAAAAAATAAAAATTATAATAGTATATATTAAGTAGATAATCCCCAACCTTTTACAACTAACAACTCAAATAATAATCAAGCCTCAACAATTATAACTTATGGATCTGTTATTCAATTAATTGATGCTCAATCAAATATTGCTTTACCTAAACTTGTAAATTCAAAATATAAAAAAAATATTTTTTTAATTTTAGAGAATAAGAAAAGTTGACAAACAAATGGTTTTGTTAGACCCTTCTAGTCAAGGTGAAAAATAGTTTTTTGAGTTAGCATTAGTAAAGTAAGTATCCTAACAGAATATTAAACAAAGAATTTTGTTGTAAGTAATGTTGGTGGACCCAGATCCGAAAAAGTTGGGATATCTGTGGATTTTCCAGGAGCTGCCAAATCTACTAGTTTTAAAGTAACCTTTAAAGTCTTTTGTTATTTTTTGTTAAAGGCCTTTTACTTTGCTTTCATAATTTTGCTGTAACAATGTCCACCAGCATTAATTACTGCTTTTACCCTTCATTTCTCCCAAACTCCATCCCTAAATAAAAAATTAAAAGGTGAACCTGTCAGTCAATTACATAAATGTGCATTCCAAATGGTTGATACAAGTGGAGGAGGTGCTGTTGTTGCCGGACAAGAATCTCTTTATTTGTGTTTATCACACGATAAAATAATTCAGCATCAAGTGGATTATTTATTTAATTCTAAATTTTATAAATTAATTTAAGGCTGTCCGAATAGACACTAATAGACATCAAATAAGTGATGGGGCTGCTTGGACGATAATATCCACAGACAAGAGTGAATATAGATGGGCTGAGGTAATAATTGTTTATTTAGGGGAATGGATAGAAAATGGTGCCCGACATTTGGATATTTTCTGACAAATTTATAGAAAATATTAGCTTCTGAACAAACATTTTGTTACTTTCTTGTAACATGTTCAAACAGTTTTTTTACTCACAGATTTTAATAAATCCTTTATTATAGTATAGTAAAAAGTTTTTTCCTCGATTATTCGGCCTAACAAAATCTTGCCGTCCCAATTCCCCAAATCGAAAATTTATATTTTATGCCGGCATAATCCCATAAATACTTCAACTAAAAATAATTTTAATTTTAAAGCCATTAGCCAATATTGGATCTTTTGCCCGTCTGCCAATTACCCCAATGCCACAACTACATAATTTAAATATTTCCAGTTTAAATACAGATAATGGAATTAAATCGGGTAGAAAACAAAAAATAATTTTTAAAAATTTAATTTTAAATTATCAGAAATTCCAACAAATATTGAATTAAATGGGTCCAACTTTTCCCCTTCAATACGGGTATGGATTGGAGCTACCCCTACAGAAACAATTTTTTGGTTTTTTAAAAAATTATTTTTAAATTAAATTTTCAATTTATTTAGTTCTTCTGAACGTTTAAATTGTTCAATTCCTTTTTTAAATTTAATTTGTTCTGATTTGGGATTTAACACTGAAACTGCCATTTTGGCTAATTCAAATAGTGGAAGTGAAAAATTGGATGTTCCCATTTTACTTGTTAGAGAAGAAGATTCTGTTGTTTTTCCGACTTCTTTAAGCTTTACTTATAGCTTGACTGGGTGAGGAAATATTAAAAAATAAAAAGGGTTATTCGAAAATTTGACTTTTCCCGGCCAGTCCCTGACCTGAAACTAAGATTTAAACCAAGAAGACCTCTGGTCAAACCCCAAGACGGAGTCTTGTTCAGTTTATATCCACCAGATGGCTAGCCAACCCTATTCTCGAAAATCGAGAATTCCTAACTTTTTAGGGCCGTGAATTCCTGTCCCCTGAAATCTGGAATCTATATTTGTCGGCTATACTCTTGATAATAGTTGAAAGAAACTTGGGAAGTACTGAAGAGTTACAAATACCCATTAGTCAATAATTTTCAGTAATTTACTGTTTACCACTCTTATAGAGTTCAGAAAGAATGTTTTTGTCTTTAAAATTTCACACTAGTATATAATTTCAGACCCTTTACTACCTCTGGAAATACTAAAAAACAACAATCTGGAAAAGACAATAATTTATTAATTAATTTAGAAACTTCCTCAAATAAAATAAATAATTTAAATAGGTATTTATTTTTTTATTAAAATTAGAAGTTAATAATTACTTTTTTAGATTTCACCCTTATTGGAATAATTCCGAAAATAATGGTGATTCTACTGGTGTAAATAATTAAAGAAAATTCGGTTATAATTCCTCATTTTAAAATTCTTTATTAAATTTTTATTTTTTATCTATTATAAATTCCCATATTTTATTTTTTGTTGTTGATACCGTAAATGCTAAATAATTACCCTTCCTTAAATATTATAATTACTTACCCCGCCTCTATTAAATATGTACCTTTCCAGCCAGGGGGTGAAAAAACAATTACCCAGGTTAATTAATACAGTATATGCGGTACTCGATTACTCGTTTAAAAACGTAAATAAAATTAAAAGTTTCTGGAAAAGAAAATATGTAAAGGAGAAATGTGTGAGAAAGGGTTTTATGTGTGTGTTTTTAGAGATTTATAATTGGCATAAAATGTAATCCTTACTTTTACTGATCCTTAGAAATAATGTGGAAAAGTGTTTTTTCGATATTTTTGATGTCTGCCACTTCTTCCACTTTTTTTCTAGGACATTAAAAGTAAGGATTACCGCATAAAAATAAATTCCGGATTTTATGGATATTAATGAAGGAATGGAGACAGATTTTGACTATTGAAACAGAGCTTAATTCTGTGAAAATTCCCATTTTCCCCAAAAAAATATTTAAAAAAACTTTTTAAATTAAAAATTGTGTTTTGATTTTTAAATTTATTTTTATTAGCAATGCCCTTTTAATTGTAAACAAGTGCCTCTAAAAATAATATTTTTATTGCGCAATTTTATGTTTTTATTTTTTCTTGTGACTAGCCAAAACACAAAAAATAAAAGGGCATTCCTTTATAAATTTTTTTCTTTTTAAAAAGCCGGCAAAATTAATTCAAAAATTATTTTCACGTGAAAGTGTTAATGACAGGAAATCAATTGAAAATTAAAAGGGCATAAGTGAGAGTTAAAGTCTTTTTTAGAGTTAGAGAGAAAATTTAAAAGGGCATTCTTTATTTAAAAAATTTAAAAAAGGCGGCAAGAGGGGAGGGGGGATTTTTTTAAATTTTTCTTTATCCTCTAAATCAATTCCAATGTCGAATGTCAGGCCATAAAAAGGCAGAGATGAAAGGCAAAATTAAACATTCGTTTTAAATATTGACTAATTTCTAAATTTTAAATTAAAAAAAAATTATTAAAAATTGAAAAAAATTTTTTTAATTCCGAATGAATTTATTTTTGGTGTTTGGAGGTATGTAACTTTAAAATAAATAAATACCGTATTGTCTCTAATAGAAGCCAATCTCCAATAGAAGTCCATGCCCTAATAGAAGCCCACCCAATGAAGTGTATTGAAAAATAAAAGCCCATGCCCAATAGAAGCCCATCTGTTTTGTGAATACTTATTTTTTCTATTACCTTCATTATAGTCGCCTAAAAGTATTGATAACGAAATTTCAATGACTTGAAATATAGAGGGATTTGGATGGAATATAGCGAAATGTGGATGGATAAAGTAGGATATGTATGATTTATTATGAGGAATATGGAGGTATTAAGGGATTATAAGCTTTAGAAGATATCTAAGAAATTGGGGTTTAGAGGATAATTGATGATTGAGAGTCGGATATCTTTATTAAATTTTAATTCTCTGAAAAATATTTTTTACAGTGTTTGTTTTTTGTTTTGTTGAAACAGTTAAGTCTGTTAACTTGGAAGATTTAATTTTTAAATTTGTTTGTAATGAGCTTGAAAAAGTAGAAGAAAATGAAGCAACAAAATTGTTTTCGGTTAAAAATCTTTTTGAGGAGAAAGTGGAGGAGGGGAGGGATATAAAGGATATATCCGCTTATATAGAAGAAAAAGAAAAATTTATAAAATTATTGCCGGAAATTATTTTACAATTAGTTGTAGAAAAATCTGATGAATTTTTAGTAAATATTAAAAATATTTTCGAGGGCAAGAATGTAGATGCTAAAGGAAATAAAATTATTAATGAATTATATAATTCATTAAAAAAAGATGAAGCTGACGAGGATAAGGAAAACATTCGACTTTATTTAAAAGGAGCTATTATGGGAAACCTTGGAAATGCATCTAAAAATGCAGATTCAATTGTCAAAAATTTGAATGAAATAAAATCAGTAAACCAAAAAGGTTACATGAATTTTTAAACATATAAATATAAGCCTTTATAGAGCGGCTCTGAAAAACTTCGGTTCCGGGGTTGAGTCTTGCTTAGTGTTCGAACGGTTCGGTACTACCGCAGTACTACCGATAGTACCGACTCGGTACTTTTCGGTACTACTGGTATTGGTATTGAAAAAATCCATTTGCCGAACACTAATCTTGCTATAATTTTTAAAGCATTGGCTTATAAATTGGTAATTTATTTGGTTTTTTTATTTCGATTTTAAAAATTTTTATTTTTTAATGGTCTAAAAAATAATGAAAATTTTGTCTTTGAACTCTTTACTTTCCTATATGAATTTTTCTAAAAAATTAATTTTAATTAATTAAGGAAAAATAAATAGAGAAACTCAAGATACTTTTGTTGTCCTTATGATATTTAAAGAATTATTTCTTAATGGATATAAAGGTGTCGAAAAAATAAACGATGATAGCATTTTAAAAGAATCAAAAATCAGGAAGGGTATTTCTTCAGATGAGTTTAAAAATGTAAAACATCTGACTGAAATCAAAGAATTTTTATTAGAGTTGGCTACGGAATTGGAAAAAATAATTAATAGTCTTTATTTAGAACTTGATTATAAAAAAAGATCAGGAAAAGTAGATCCTAATACGGCTCTAAAAACGGGAAGCAAATTAATGTCTGAAATATTAAAAAAATTTGGTAGTGAAATTGAAGAGATTGAAGAAAAGGAAATTGAAAAGATTGAAGAAAAGGAAAATGACCCGCTTACGTTGTCAGTCTCACCTGAGATAATAGCAAAGAAAGAAAAAAACATCCCGCTAGTTCCTAAATTGTCAGACTCACCTGAGATGATAGGAAAGAAAAAGATCAAAAGAGAGTATGGATTATTGTTTAATGAGAATTAGCAAATACCCCAAACGATATAATTTTATAAGATGGCAACGAAAATTTTTATGCCACAAACCAAGAAATTATTGTTTAGTCGTAATTTTTTCCCCTGTACCAATCCGGACTTTGTTCAAAAGAAACTCGATTCAAAGAATTTTATTCTAATTTACCTAAAACAAACTTTATATTTAAACGAGAACCGCCCCAAGCTTTGAAATTAAATTTAATATTAAAAATATAATTAATTAAAGCTCCCAATTTCTCAATTCATTTTATTTAGAATAATATATAAATAAGAGAGAATATTTTAAATTTATTTAGGCGAGGTGTTGGAACCCCTGTACCTTCTCCAAGAGGCGTTCAAAAGAAAGTAAAAACTATTATAAATATTACACCGAGTAAATCAACCCATAAGAAGAATGGTGATCAGGCTGTTACTTCGCCAAGTGTTCCAAAAAAGAAGAAAAAAGTACAATTCGCTCTCCCTCCAGAGACTAAACCATAAAATCACTCAAATTTTGAAATACATATTTAAGCAGGGGTTCGTCGTAATTAAATTTTAACGATTTAAAATTACTGAAAATGAAACTTGTAAATTAGGATTAGGATGTTTTCGATTCGGCGTAACCCTTGTTTTAATTTGTAAAATTGTGTAAAGAGAAAAAAGAATTGAAGGAAATTTATACCTTCTCCAAGAGGCGATCAAAAGAAACCTATGTAACAAAAAGATAAAAGAAAATTTTCTTCCTTTTTGATAAACATACATTTGTACATATTTAAATGTTAAAACTCCATTTTGATTTCATTTTTTGATTTCATAGTTTGCATAAAGATGGTTTTTTTGATTCAGTAACATTTTTAACGCAACTTTTTCCCAGGAATTATTTAGTATAAAAAATATAAAAAACAGTCAGCGATCACTTTAGTTTACCCATTCTGAAAAAAATAGGTAAACTGAAAAAGTAATTAAAACAGATCAACCATAAATATCTCTACCCAAAATATAGTGATCTTAAATATCGCCCCATATGATAAACTCTAAATATTAGAATATATTTATAAAACCATAAAAGGTAAAAGTTAAAATGCTTTGTAGAAAAATTCAGGCAAGTTGCTGGGACATGATTCGAATTTAAAAATGCTGGTGGTAGGCCAAAAACTATTGTCTTTAATTAATTTTGAAAAATCTGAAGAATTTTTTGAGTCCTAAGTCAACAGTTGAGGGCAACAAACATTCTTAACCTCTCTTCTTTTTAATGTTTTGATAGTTTTAAAAAATCAAAAAAAAACTTTAATGTGAAAATACATTAAAAAGGGAAAAAATATCCATGAATTCTTCAGATTCCCTCAGATTTATCAAAATTAATGACAATAGTTTTTGACCTAGCACCAGCATTTATTTCTAAACCTTATTTAAAATTAAATCAAATGCTCATATGTAACACTCTTTAGGCATAGCACCAAAAGTTGTATTTTATAAATATATTCTAATATTTAGTGTAGATAATATGGTTACGATATTTAGGGGTGAACTCGAGAAAAATTATCCTTTCAGTAAAAACATGTCTGTTGTAAACGAGATCTGCGGCTAATAAAGAAGGAGGATCAAGGAGTGAATTCTCTTATTAGAAAAAAATTTTCTCTCAATTAAAAATATATTTAAGTTCTAACTCTCATAATCTATCACTATGGGAGTAATTGAATATTTAACAAATTCTCACTCTTTGAATATATTTTCTAGGTTCTGATGCCAAAGGCACTAAATATTTTTTGATGGACGAAAATTAGGAGATTATTGACAAAAGAGGAGAAAAATTAATTTTTTCTTGGCACAACCAATAAGTCAAAGTTTCCGACACATTTAAGAATTATTTAACAACGAGGGTAAAAAATTTAGGAGTTTCAAATTTTTGGGTTTAAATTGGGCTAGACAATTTTGAAATTAATTTTGTAGTGTATTATGATGTAAACATGCACTTTTCTTATTAACAAATCCCATTAAATGTTTTCATTCCCTTTAAACTTTTTTTTTCTTATGACTTCTCGCAAATAAAGTGCATTCTCAAATTTTTTTAAATGCCGGTAAGATAAAAAATAAATTTTTTATCACATGAATTGTTAATGTGGAAAAATTTGATTGTCAAGAGGGCACGTAAATAAGAGAGGGGAAAAGAGGAGGGGAGGGGAGGGGGGAAGGAGGGGTAGGTGAGGGGGAAGGGAGGGGAGGGGGCAGGGGAGGGGATGGGATGGGATGGGATGGAGGGAGGGGAGAAGATGAGGGGGGGGGGTAGTGGAGGGAAGGGGGGATGGAGGGAGAGAGGTAGAGAGGAGGGCTAATAATTTTAAACTTCTCTCTATCCATTACATGCCAAGTAAATAAAAAGCAATAAACGAAAGGCAAAATTAAGCAGTTAAATTAAATTTTTAAATTAAATTAAAAAACAAAAATTAAATTTTAAAACTTTCTAAGGAGCGGACGCTTTAGGTTTTAAAACTTTTCCATTCTCTATTTAAAAAAATAAAACATCTTTTTTAAATACCAGAAAGATTTTCAAAAAATTAGGAAACCGGGAAATATTTTAATTGTCTCTAGAATCGAGAGATTTTATACCTAAGAAGAAATACTCGCAAAGGTATAGATAGGTCTGGAAATTGAAAAAAACTAAAGGAACTTTAAATTAATTCTTGGAATTTAAAAATGATAAAGGTATTTTATTCTGAAGTGCTCTTCGAGTAGAGAAAATTAAACAGGCGTTAATAATTTGACTTTTTTTTTTGAAACAAAATTTATTTAAAATTTAATAAATATTTATTTATTTAAAGAATTTAATTTAAAAATATTTTTATTTGAAATATCAACAAGAATTTTAGAAATTATGCAACTAAAATTATTGTTTGGAGGTAATTAAATAATTTTCTTAGAAAATTAAAATATAAATAAATTTATTAGCCATAATAAAATACATACTTTTTAATAAATACTTTTCTCATATAATAATTCTGAACTTGGCAGCTAGTACTATTTCAGTTAACGTAAAAGTTTAGGCTGATGTGGGGTTTGACAATAAACAACCTTCTGCATGTCTTAGGAATTAAATAGCCCCGTATTTTCTTAAATAATTACCCTCCCTAGCTTGATCTCCTCATGTTAAGAGTTCAAAACTCGAATAAATATTTAATTACAAGAGTAAATATTTGAACGTATAAGTAAATTCGTATCGGGCTAACTTAGGGAACGGATAAGACAAGGAACGACAGGTCACGGAATTACCAAATCACGGAACGACCAATTCCGTGTTTTGGTCCCACCCAAGTAAATTAAATGATTTTCAATTTCTTTATTTTAGTTATTTTTATATTTTGTTTTGTGGAGAATGTTAAAAGTAAAGAATCGGAGAAAGAAATTTTTGATTCAGTTTATGAAATTATTGAAAAATATACAAAAAATTCTTATCCATTAGAAAGGGCAAAAATATTATTTAATTCCAAGCAAGTTTTGGATGAAGAGAAATTTGCAAAACAATTTGTTGATTTAATGAGTAATTCTATTTTAAATTTAATTGATACAAATAAAAAAGAATTAAATAAAATAATTAAAGAATTAAATCAAATAAGTGAAAAAATTAAAAATAAAAATAATTTGGGAAAGAAAACTTTTAAAGAAATTGTTGATTTGAATCAAATTGAAATAAGTAAAAGCTTTAATATATTTTAAATTATTTTATTAATGAAGAAAACATCAATTCCCAATTTTTCCATTTTTCTTTTACCCAAAAATTCCTATTTTTCATTATTCTCATCAAAAATAATTAAAAACATTTCTTCAATCTTTGAAGAAAAATATTTTTTCAAAAATTGAAATGATTTTTGGATTGCTAGGAAAATAATAAAAATGTCTAAAGAAATTCTAAGTTTTCACAAAAATTATTATGAATTTTTGTAAAAAATAGTATGTATATTTTTACAAAAATATACAACGGAATTGCTTTAACCAAAATAACTATTACGGGAAAAGATTTTAGGTAACTTTAGTTTTGATTTCTAATTGCTATATTTAAATTAAATTTTAATTTTAATTGTTTACTTTTTCGCCCTTTTTACAAATTCATTATGTGTCTTTTCATCCACATAAAAGACAATAACCAATAAAATTTAATAAAAAAATTAATTAAAATAAAATTAATATTTTTATAGAAAAAAACGAAATTGAATGGAAAGATGTTTTTTTGATAATTTTAAAATTTAAAGAATTATTTTTTGTTGAAAGCAATGTTAAAAATGATGGGGAAAATATTTCTATTAATTCAGAAAGTGCTAATACTTATACTAAAAAATGTATTTGTGAATTAGCTATTTATTTAGAAAAAATTTATATTTCATTAATTAATGAACTTTTAAAACAAAAAATAATTTATTTGAATAAAAATGAACAAAAAATAAATATAGACAGCAAAGAATTAATTAATCGTTCAGAAAATTCTGAATTTAATGAGTTTTTGGAAAATATGGGTATATCACAAAAAATGCCAGATTTAGTAATTGAGGATTGGGAACAAATTAAGGCTAATGCACACAAATTACTCACTGGAAATTCAATGCAGTCTAATTTAAAATTAAAAGGAAAGGGCGACATTGGGTTTGTTTAATTATCTCTTTTGAAAATAAAGTTAAACGATACGTGAGGTCTAAAATATATTCGGGGAAGCATATACGGGGCAGCATGTGCCGTCTAAACATGGAGGAACAGAAATTTCTCGAACAAAATTCTCCTAAATATCTCATGTTCGGTCTATGGTAGATATTTTATTTAAAATGTTAACAAGTACTCAAAAATATTTATGGCGTGAAAAAATGCTTGTACTTGTTGCTGATCCCATAACAAAACTTTATTATACTTATTGAAATAAAGAAATTCGATTGCAGGGGGGAGAGGGGGGGGAGGCGAAAAAAACCACGCATTTTACGTCGCAATGTTCGAGGATCAAAGTTTTAATTTAATTATCCTCAAAAAACAAAAAAATTAAGAGCAGTTATTGAATAAATATGTTAAATATATAAATAATAACCAAAAGTTTCATATAATATTTTTATAAAAAATAATTTCCAAAAATTTATCTGATGTGAGATACATAAATAATAAAAAAACCAAAATCTTTTTAAAAATAACACCTTATAAAACATACATACTTGCAGAGATTCTGAAAATGAGGGAAAAAGCAATTCTTCCTCAACTTCTACTGGGAAGAGAAAAATTGATGATTTAGAGATTGATATGAACCATAATTTAAAAAATATGAAAATAAATGATAATGATGAAAAGAAAAAGATTATTAGTCCAAATGCTAGTAATAAATCTTCAAGTAAAAAAATTCGAGTTAATACTTCCAGTGGAAAAGGCAAAAAACAAAAGAAAACAAAAAAACTTTCGCAATTTTTTATTGATTAAATGAAAGTTGAAAGTTTTATCTTTTTTGATTGCTTGATCAAAAATATATGGCTCTACTGCAGTCGTGACTGCAGTTTTCTACTACAGTTCATGAGTCCAATCAAACTAATTTTGAATTTTTCATTATATTATGAAGTTGGGGTTGGGGTGTGTAACAGTTCTTCATCTTCCGGACCTATCCCACTGAGTTTGGGACCATCCCCCCTCAATTTTTTGAAATTTTTTAAAAATTGTCTATAACATTCCGAAATTTCGAGGTTAGTTAGGAACGGTCCCAGTTGAAGAATGTTGACCTAGTGGGCGTAGGTTCC